AAAATGATTATCTAAATAATAAGTTATTTCAGCCTATTTCTAGTACCATTCCGTTATTTCAGCAACAGTCAGATGTTTGCAACGCAGTGAAGGAGACGTTTCAGCCTATTTCTGGTACCATTCCGTTGTTTCAGCAACAGTTTTTTAATAAATTTAATATTTTCGCTAAGGCCTTTGTTAATATTTTTCCTGAGTGTAAGCGTCTTTTGCACATTTTTAATCTGCCTGCCTTTTGTATTGCACTTAACTTGGCTTGCAGTCTTGCCCCGAAGCACTCTGAAACCGCCCCGCCCGCGCTCATTCGCTCTTTGGAGAATGCCTCACAGCCCCTTAGAATTTAGCCAGGAACAATGGGCCTCGCATAATGGGGCAAATTGAATTTGAATTGCTTGGCTGGTTGGCTTGGTTAACATTCTAAGCGCACTCACACACTTAGAGAGGGACGGCTAGAGGGGCCGAGAAAGAGAAGGGGCTAACGTGTGCAGGCCGGGCCGGCCACATTTAAGATTCTCAATAATGCTTATTGTCAGGGAATTGAATGCGAAAACAATGCCATGTCCCAGAGTCCTCTTCTCTAGTGTCCTGCCATTGTGCGTGGTTCGGTAAATATTATTCTTCTTTAAAAATTGTCGAATGCCCGAGGATACCAGAAGAAGGCACCAGGAAAAAGGGAGAGTCTTTTAAAAAAAATTGTAGAAGTAGGAAAGGTTATGACAAGCACAAACCATTTGTCCCAAACAAGATAAATGAGAAAAAATTAGAGGCACACAGATAGCTCATAGAAATCAATTGAAGTCGAGTAGAAAATCAACAGCGTATTATTTTTCCCTCGACCATGTTCTTAAATCTTTTGTGCGTTGTGGCAAATGACAAAGGAGCAATTATGAGGAGCACCCAGGAATGTGCAGAAAGAGCCACAAGACCATAGTTAAGATTCTGATTTTAATAGAGAAGCAGCAGTCTCAAAAGAAGTGCTGGGAAATCAAGCGAATTGTGATGAAACTCAAACAAAATCGTGATAACCAATTGGCAAGGTGTCTTCGCAATTGAGAGATCTATTATTAGAAGGCATTTTCAGGTAAGTTTCCGAGGTCATAAACAATTGCATAGGGATTTATGCCACACAACATGTTTGATTGGCAGTGGTTGTGGTAAATAAATTAAGGGTTTGAAAATAATATTGGAAAGTTAAGTAGTGAATGGTGTGGAAAAGTAAAAAAAATGTATTATTGAGAAAAATGTATTATTTTTCAAAAATTGTCTTATTTCAAAATAAATTAAAGGTAAATAAGTAAGACTCTGATTTATTACTTTTTTGGAACCGGAAAACAGGAATTTCTCATTCAATTATCCAAACCTAACTCCTTAAGAAAACAAGTCAGCTTCTTTCAATAACTCCTTTTCGGAATGAGCAACCGGAAGCAAAATTAATTTTCCAATATTAATCTCCCTCAACTTGACCTCAAGACCGCAGCCACAGGATACCTTTTCAATCGCATTAAAGAGCAATTCATTTGCCCGGCTGCAACCTCCTTTAATGGGTTAATCTCATCCGAGTGCAATCCCCTGCTTAACATATGTATGCACAGACCGCAGGGCCAAAATCCAAAATCCAGCATCCCGAATCCAGTCCCGAAAACCTGAAAACATGCACCATATCCGTTGCTGGCTGTCATGGCCGATTGAACAAACAGCTAAACCCAAATGCTAATCCTTTTTTCCATTTTTTCATGGTTTCGTCGGGCGAGTCTGAGGTCCTGCATTTGTGCAGCTGTTGCTACGAAAATTACTTTTTTTCGTGTATTTGGAAGGGACAAATCCACTGATCCACTTTGCGTACAGTAGCAGCCGCCTCTGTTGTTTTGACAAAATGTTTTTGTCGAGTGCCATTGACTTTGGTAGCAGTCGGTAGTTTGGTAACTGCAACTGCAGCCCGCATTTACCTGACAAATGATGATGACAACTTCCGCTGCTGGCTAAAACCCTCAGCCCTCCCAGCACATATTTTAATTTTCGAAACAATCCGGCAAAACAAAATACGAGAAAATCAGGGAGACACGCCAAAGTCGAGCGGAATACGCCGAGAGTTCTCCTGGCCGGCCACGTTAAGAGGATTATGTCCAGTCGGAATGCGAGTGTGTGGGGTAAAACTCGCAATTTTTATGAATATGGAAAAGCCGCTTTGGACGGCAGTGGAAATAATAACAAACTAACGAAACTTCAAACAAAAACATGGCAACGAAGGAGTTAGGATAGGTGAAAATGTTATTAGAGCTGAGCAACGATTACATAACCGAAAAACAATTTGAAAAGAAATTGTTTTTGAGAAAACATGAGGGAGTACTGTGTGAGATAAAGCTTAGCTCATTTGGACCAGGAAAAATCAAAGGAAATTGTCAAGGGAATAAGAAGCGAACATTAAAAAGTTACTGAAAAGAAGGCCTTTAATAATAGACTTACATGCAATATATTTCCCTTAACATTTAAATCATTTTATTTCTCATACGAATATTTTAAACATTTATTATATTTACAAAAGTCAGCATTGGCATTATTGAAAAAGGGAATTAAAATATGTTTGCTTCAGAGTAAAGATGGATTAAATGAGATTAATACTATGTAATCAGATTTCAAAATCACAAATTCGTTTTTGTACAAATACTATTTTTACCAATATAGAACAATTTTTAAAATTATATTATTTACTCTCCTCAAAAATTGAGATACTATTCATTTACATGTATATGTATATGTAAATTTTCCCGATATGACCTCATGCTTTGGGTTCTTATTTATGGAATTGCATCTCCCATATGAATATTTTCCCTTCCCATCCTTCACCAGTTCTCTTTCCAGGCAATGGAATGCAATATCCAAAGTTGGTGTATTCCCCCTGCATTAATTAGTTTCGCTCGTTGCCAATTTGTCACAGAGCCCGATGTCAATGCTCCGGCAATGTGAGGGCGAGATCTTGAACTCCACCCCCAGAGACACCCCCTTCTGGGAGTTTTCGGAGGTCTTAAAGTCTTAGCCAGAGGGACTTTAAGTTTTGGCGCCCATAAATATGCCATAAAACTATTTGAACGGTCGACTAGATAAAGGGGGCGGACAGTCTTTGAGCAAGTGTAGCAAACAACCAAAACAACCACCAGACGACTTCTGTCCTGGGACTACCAACTAGATAGATACTCCTCTCTCCGGCCCATAGCAAAGTTAATAATAATAAAGCAGGGGCGGAGAAGTCAGGGGCACGCCCCAGACAAAGTCCCCGCCAAATACGATTACAATTTGTTACACTTACGCAGCACAAAAGTCGTCAGCCACCCCGCACATCATCCCGTTCCCATTCTCATTCCCAAGCCCATCTTCTCCTTGGAGTTGGGACGCCAAACAGTCGCCAGTTGTTTCGTCTTTCGTCTTGTGGTTATACAAATCTCCAGACTGGCATCAAAAGCAGCACCAGTAGAACCAGAAGCATCCGAGCAACCTGACCAAAGAAATGCCCAAACGAATGTCCGCATAAATCAGAGCATAGTTTGGTTCTGAGACGAAAAGGGGGAAGCTGCCGCATCGGCTGCCCAAGGGGATGTTTCCGTCTAATCAAAATCAAAGCAAAGGGGAACGCCACACTGAAGAAAAAATTGGAGTTCATTACATTTTCAAGGTTATTGATCTTCAGATAGTATTTCCATAGTAGTATAAACATATAAATATTAATCAATAGTATTTATAAATATTATTTAGGAATATAAATAAAATAGAGATTTTATCCAAATATTCCATATAATTTTAGCATACTTATTTTTTTTATCATATTTATAAAAAATAATTTCTGAAAATAACATTACTTATAGTTTATAGATCTAACTTCCTGTTCATTATTTTTCCGTGTAAAACCATTTTGAAACTCACGCAGGAAAATTCTGAAAAAGGGCAAAGGGGAAAAACACTCCCCGAGAACAGTGCACACTCTCGCTCAGCGATCAGCCGATGCCAATTAATTTATCAAAGTCAGTGCAGCCGAGGAGGAACCATCCTCAAGACAAGGCCACTGGGAATTAAACGACAATGAACGATCCCCATTCATTGGGTTATTAATACAGCACACTCTACGCAAGATCATCGGGGAATCGATTCCGGAAGCGGCTGCAGTTGCCATCAACATTTCTTTCTTCCCATTCTTTCCTTTCTCTTCGGGTCCACTCAGGTAAACTCATTTGACTTTTATTAATTACAACTAGATTTTTATTTATAACCAACAAATTGTTCACAATTTATCAAATTGGCTTAGTGATGCATACACATCTCTATGGGTATATGTTTAATTATTCAGAGACGATCGCTGTATTTGAGCTTCTGCCATCCAGCCCTTTGACGCTTCATTTCCCGGTAGCTGTTGGGCAGTCCATAGAAAAAGTATATGGACAGTCCTATGCGAGTAGAGAACCGATTAGTTTACGTATTAGGAGGTATCTTAGGCATGCACTTAGTTTTGACGTTTATAATAGCGCTTTATTTAATACTTTTACGACTAGTTTTGAGTTAGCTCAGCATGCGTGTTAATTTATAGGGGATTGTGAGGGGCTAGGATTAAGACTGGGATCTCTTAAATATACTTTATAGTCAGGTCTTAAAATTCATATCCATTTGAGGTTCCATTCCCCACAAGTACTTTCCTTCAGCAGTTACTTCCCTTTGTTAGGAACTCCCTACATTTCATTCCTTTTCCACTTAACTTTAAACAATTCCCAAAGGACCCCTCCTAGTCAGCTCCTTTGTTCCTCCAATCCACCTGGTACTTTTCATCTAGGATTGCTTGCATTCCGTACTAACTACTAACTAGTGACTACTTGTAACTACAGCTATGCTAGATATGTACAAGACGGGCTACATTTGCATTCCGATTGCATGCAGAACTTAACTACTGTTAACTGGGGAGGGGGAAATGGCACCCTCTTTGGTTTCACCAGGGAGGGTTCAATATCCACAGGGGGAGGTATACAGCCCCTCAGCTCTCCACTTCCTCCACTTCTATGTAGGTGGACTGCGGACGTTGGCGACGCACCAAGTCCGGATGTTGTTGGGTTCGGTGCGAGGGACCCCGCTGCAATATGGCCTCCAATTTGGCTTTGAATGGCAACGGCTTCGACTCCGGTTGCTGGCCAGGATCCGGACGTGTCTCCGGCTGCGATTCCGGTGGCAGGAGTGCCGGGTTCCTGGCATCCACGATATGCGGCCGACTCAAACTGGGTCGCTGTTTGCGCAAACTAATGCTGTTGATGGTCTTGTACAGCACCGGATCGAATTTCGGTGGACGCGGTATGTTGTTGCCACCTGCAGTTGCCGCATCCGCAACTGCAGCGGGGGCCTTTGAGGGGGTGGGGGTGGGCACTTCTGCGAGGACCTCATCAGCATTACCAGCCTCATTATGGTCGATTTTCAGCTCACTGATGGCCTTGAGCATTAAGCGACGCACATCGGTCTCGCTTTTCGATTGCTTTAGCAGCGGCCTTGCTTTCGGCTCCTCAACCTGGTCCTCCCTCTCCTCCTCGGACCTCTTGGCCACCCCCTTCACCTGCTGGGCATTGCCATTCATAATGATGTGGCTTAAGCGGTCTTTAAACTTGGCCGAGTGCAGGGGATCCTCAATGGCGGAGGCCTGGGATTTGAGGGAAGTCTGCGAGGGCAGGCGTTGCAGTACAAAAACAGGCTTTCGTTCGGATTCCCCATCCTCCCCTGACTTATCCTCTTTCAGCAGGACAACCTCTTTGCTTTTAACCCGCTGCAACTGTTCGTAGAAAGCCTCGCTATTGAACAGCTCCTCCAGCATCTGATGGGCCACCAATTTGCATTCCTCGTATTTGCTTAACTTGAGGGAAACTCCGCTTTCAGTCTCATCATCGTCGCTGCTGCTGTGAACGGTGGCCACAATGACGGTCTCTATGACACTCGGATACATCTCGGAGTCCAGGCTAAAGTGCCGCTCGAAGATCATCTGCTGCCGGAGGTCCAGCTCCTGCTGGCTCTGCTGCATGTCCTCGGCCTCCAGGACATCGTCCAGCATGGCTATCACCGACTGCTCGTCCTCCCGCGACGGCGACTCAGTGTCGCAGCCCAAGGTGGCCGTGGAGTTCTCACTCTTGGTGTCCTCCACATAGAAAACCTTGCCATTGGCATGCTTCACTTCGACCAGCTCGTCGCCCACATCACTCAGATTCTGAATCTGATCCAAACTGCTGCTGGGACTCTTCTTCAGCTGCGTCTCCAGGGTCAGGACACTCTCCTTCGAGATGCAGTGGTACTCCTGCTCCCGACTCTCCTGCAATCCCTTCAGCGCCTTGTAGAAGGCCCACCTCTCGGGGTTTCTCTTCTCCGGATTCTTGCTATCGTACAGATACCAGCATGCAAGGAATACGGGAATACCTAGGACATCGAGGTTAGTACAAAAGTGCCACATGCATTACTTTCTACCACATGCAAAGGGTAATAGAAGGGCGGAAGGCACGACTCACCCACAATCATCCAGACCCCGAAACGTATCCACGTCCAACTGTCCAGCTGGAGCATTAGGTATATGTTGATGAAGATGCTGATGGCGGGGACAATCGGTACGAAGGGCACTCGGAACAGCCGGCGACGAGCTTCTCTGGGCTGGAGGCAAATGAGCAGGATCACCAGGAACATCAGCAGGACCAGGACAACCAGGAGAGTCAGAGCCCAGATCTCCTTGGAGGCAATCGAGGGATGGGCCTGCATTATCACTACACCTATTCCCAAGGAAATCAGACCTGCAAAATAGGATTAGGGAGATTAGAAATATTATTTTTACTACCTTTATATCAAACTCACAAAACAGTGTAGCCAGCACTCCCACAATCCTCGAGGATATCGCATTTGGTTCCTGGATGCGATGCACATTGAATAGTTGTGTGCAAACCGAACCGAAGGTAAATCGCTCGGAGCTCGAGGTCAACGAAGTGGTTTCCGAAGCTCTAACTTCCCGCTGTCCCGGATTCTCTTCCACCTCACAGTAGTCCATGTACCGGAGGAGCATTATGGATATTGCCACCACGCTGTAGGCCAACAGAGTGCCGATGGACAGGAGGCTGACCAATTGGGACAAGTCGAAGAGCCCGGCGATCGCGGCCGTGAAAAGCGCTGCCACAATGGATCCAGTGACTGGGACTCGAAATCTCGGACTCACTTTGCCCAGAAATCTAAACAGTAGGCCATCCTGGGCCATTGAGTACATCACTCGGGGCAGAGGAAAGAGGGCTCCAAAGAGACTAGCCATCAGACCCACCAAACCCCCAACGGTGACTACCCACATGGCTACGGGCCAACCCACATATTCGAAGGCATACGGCAGTGGAGCGTTGGCATCCTGGAGATAATATGGTAGCATCAGTGTCAGAACAGTGGACACTCCGAAATAGCACAGGAAGATTATCAGCAGCGAGAGCAGGATCGATTTGGGAATGTTCTTGCGAGGATTTCGAACCTCTTCGCCGGTGGTGGCGATGCAATCGAATCCCACGAAGCCGAAAAAGCAGGTGGCCGCTCCACGGAGAGTTCCCTCAAATCCGAAGGGGAAAAAACCCCCCGATCCGATGGTGGAATTCGCACTGACTGTACTGGGATCCACCGTCCAGTTGGAGAAGTCGGCTGGAAGGCGGGAAACAACAATTAGTTAATTAAGAAAACATTATCGGAAATCAGGTATAACTATCTTCAATAAAGATTGCTCTATTATGTTGTCATAACATTCTTGAAATTCCCCTAGCTGGGAATTTTCTACCAAGCGTTAATAAAATATATTTAGTATTTAAAAACAAACTTACCTTTAATCGCACCAGCAATTATGACAAAACCCAAAATGAATATATTTACACAGGTCACAAAATTATTAGCCATCGTAGATGTCTCCACACCAAATGCAAGTGCCACTAGAAAATAAAAAAAATTATTTAATGCTAACAAACCAAATATATTTTACCACTCACCTCCAAAAACAACCACCAAGCCAAAGGCCAAAAAGTCAAAGTAGCTGCCCAGAAAACTTACATTCATGGGTGCCACCTCGGCAAATGTGTTTTTCAGGGTATCATTCAGCAAGGAGTCCAGATACAGACTGATACCCCTACAAACACTCGCAGTGCCAATAACATATTCCAAAATGAGATTCCAGCCAATAACAAAAGCCACAAATTCTCCAATGCAGACATAACTATATACATAGGCCGATCCCGCCTTGGGAACTCGAGCTCCGAATTCCGCATAGCATACTCCTATGAGCAATTTTATATAAAGATCATGAATGAACGAATAAAAAATACAACGATAAAAAATCTGACCAATCTGGATTATTTGTAATGAAAAAAACTTGATGGGAAAATTAAAGTTCAAGTAAAATGAATTAAAATGATTTATTTTTATGAGACACTTGTATTATAAGGTAGTCTTAGTTAAATCAAACTCACCCGCCAACAAAGATGCCAGAGCGGCGATGGCAAATGATATCATCACCGAGGGACCCGCCTGATCCTTGGCTATCTGCCCGGCCAGCACATAGACCCCTGCTCCCAGGGTCGATCCCACTCCCAGGGCCGTGAGGTCCCACAGACCAAGCACTCGATTCAGTTTCGTATCCCCCTCGCTGCCATCCGCTTGGAGATTCTTGCGCCGGGTGAGAACCTTCCAGGGCGAGAATTGCCGAACCATTTCTCTCTCTCTGTCTCTCGGCTTGTCGAAAGTTCAGTAAACCTTGGGATTCTGGAAAGGAAAATATTGCAGGTTCACTTAGTCGCATTCAGAGGTTTAGCCAAGATCATAATGCACTTCGATCTACGTATTGTCTTATCTTGTGACGCCGTACGATTGTATAATGCAAATAATTGAGCTCAAATTGTAATCGTAAATGGCGAGGCTGTTGTGAGCTGCGAGACTGAACTCGATTGCTCCACTTAGAATTGGGTATAGGTAATCTATACACTCATAGAAATTTTTACCTAAATACTAGAAAAGTCGCCCTAAAACCGAGGTCGCCCTAAAACTACGAAAAATTTTCTTATTATACGGGTGGCTAGCCCTAAAAATACGAAAAATCGCCATGGAAAATATTTTTTAGGGTTAGTTTTTCCAAAACGCCAAATTTGCCCTGTTTTTTAGGGCGAATTTTTATGAGTCGACTCCAAAAGTAATTCCTTCTTTTTAGGGCGAAATCGCCCTAAAACGCAGAACAAAATAGCCAAAAATATGTTCTGAAATTGCCCTAAAAACAAGGAAGAGTCAAACGAAATTCTAAGACGCAATTAATGGATACATATGTAATATGTGTGTATGTGTGTGTGGTTGGCAGGTCAAAACAAGTGAATGTGTGTGTATATTAGGGCGGACCTTTTTCTATGAATTTTGATGCTGAGCGCATTTGACTTTAGAGAAGTCCACCCTTTTTCTTCTTCTTTGCTACTTTTCGTCCGTTGCAGTGGCAAGGGTGGGGGTAGAAAGAGTTGCATTGTCTAGACTTTGTCATAATTTTTCGGGCGCTTGGCGGCGAAAGACGTGTTTGTGAAACCTTTTGTTTGTGAAGAAGTGAAAAATGTAAACGCTATTAAAGGACTTGGGAGGCGATTCTTTCTCTGTTTTCTGGTGAGTACATACATATATAATTGTGCAATTTGGATATTAATAACTAATTTAATTTAGATATCTGTAACAGAGGAAAATGCAGCTGAAACTTAAAAAGATTTGACTGGAAGCAGCGGTCCAGATGTAGAGGTTTGGAAGTGTGGCAGAACAAAGTAAGAACATTAACAAGAGTATACATATATGTATGTGTATATGTAAATAATGCTTAAGGTAAAAAGATGATGCAACAGAATACACACATTTTTTACAGATGTATATATTTGCCAGAAATCTGTATTTATGCACCGGACAAACCGCATTCACAAGTGCATATGCCAAAATAACCCCCAAATTTCTATTGCGTCATTTCATCAGTAACCGAAATTTGCTTTTGTTGCTTCCTTTTTTCCAGAAGTAGCAGAAAACGCAATCGCAGGCTAAATGAAAATTTTGACTGTTAGTAGTGCATTTTTATATTAATTTCTAACAATTTTTTTTCTTGTTTTAGATTGAGAACGCAAACCACTTTTCGCACTTTTTAAAAGCGAAAGTAAGGGAATAAAACTGCTCAAATCTTTGGAAAGCCACGCTGAAGGTATGTGCTTTTTCTCTTTTTCTTTTCTCATTCAATAAACAGACTGTTTTTATTTAATAGAGATACAATCAACTTTAATTTGGCTTGCGATCCATTCAGTGTTGGTGCGACAGCAATGACAAAGAAGGACGGCGGGAGCAAGAACGCGAAGCACACCATTGCGGACCCGCGAAGCCGTTTCTTGGTTTGGAAGGCTACTGTTGGGGAACTGCAAACACATCTAAAGGCATTGACGGAAAATTGCAAATCCGGAAAGCCGAAACTGCAACCATTCAGCTGCAACGTGGGAACAAGCCCTTTTTGACCTTGGTGAATTTCCAGTTTACCTATCAGAGGTTTTTTTATAGAATGCGAACCTTATTGAAAAGTATTGATGTGTGCTTCAAAATATTTTTTGTTTTAAACCACCATTTATCCAAAAAATTTTTTATGAAATTCATTTAGAGTCTGATAAGAAAGGTAGAGCTTTATCCGAACTCTTGGAGGATTATAAAACCTTAAAACTGTAACTATTTTAAAGAAACAATCTGTTCATTCCAAAAAAAAAATATTATTTCTATGCATTCAATTAGAAGTAAAATTTGATAATTAGTACTTATTGTAATAAACCTTAAAAGACCCTCCGGCGGAAGCACAAAACCTAAGGACCAAAAAATACATTAAGCCAAAACATTATTTTTAAGATCGATGTAATTCTTTTAGCAATAAGAATAAGTAGAAAAGTAAGTAAATGTATATAATTAGAAATTGTGTAAATAACAACAAACAAAAATATAAAAAAAACAAAAAAAATATAATGAAATCGTATTTTTATTTATGAAAAAAAGCCGGGAAATTTTGGGGAGCACTTTGCTTTTTTTAGGGCAATTCGCCTATAAATCCAGAAAAACGCCCTAAATTTATGAAAATCTGCCTTTAGTTTCAGGATATTTTTTCATATTTCTAGGGCAATTTGCCCTAAAATCCAGAAAAACACCCTAGATTTATGAAAATCTGCCTTTAGTTTAAAGGTATTTTTTCCGATTTCCAGGGCAATTCGCCTATAAGTCCAGAAAAAGCGCCCTGGATTTAAAGGAAACTGCCTTTAGTTTAAGGGTCTCATTTCCTACTTTTAGGGCAATTAGCTTTGAAAATAGAAAAATCGCCCTAGATCTACGAAAAATCGCCCTAAATGTGTGACAAATTCACCCGTATTTTTAGGGCAATTTGCCCTAATTTTGTTGCCTAGTCGCCATTGACCCCCGTTTTAGGGCGATTTTCCTTGTTTTTAGGGCGATTTTACCGGAAAATTTCTATGAGTGTATGTGGGGAGTGCTATGTGGGAAGGTTTCGGTGGTGGGGAAGTTGTAATGGAAAAGTTTTCGGAAGCACCTTTCTGTAGAAAGTTTGATAACAAGGAGGGAATCAATTAATAGTTAAGAAAATCAATTTAATTAAAAATACATATGATTTATGAAATAGATTAAAAAAGCATGATGACACTGATGTTTTTATTGTAAATGTGTGGACGATTAAATAATACAGCAAAGGCTTTTATGTTTATTTTAGTCACCAAATTTTTTTAAAATAATGACATTGTTCTAAGAAACCTCAAATGTTTTTCAGAATTAACGTTGCAAATCTGCATTTCGTCAGGCATAAATAATTAATTTTTACATATTTTTTCAACAGGTGACTAACCAAAGCACCCACACCTTATCCTAATAAAAATATTCCCCCACTTTGATAAGAATCAGATGCTCAAGTTTTTACCTATAATATCTTTTGCAACTTTGTTTGCCTTTCTATTATTAAGTTTATAATTCGTTTGCTCTCCGCTTAACGAAGATAATTAAGTGGGTCTAGGTGAGTCCGCCGGGCTTGTCGAATGGAAACTTATGCTGTATTTATATAATTATGGTAAACTTGATACTGCACTCACCGACTTTGAAACAGTTTTATTCCCGCGTCTGTTCGATTCCTATTGCAGTTGCTGCTCCAGTGCACTCTGTGCAAATATTTTCGCCTTTGTTTGGTTCTTATTAATGAATTGTAAGTCTATTATTAATTTCCGCTCACACAAAACAATGAAAAACGGACAACAAAAGTGTGACTGACATACTTGGCGATCTGGGAGCGTCTGTCTGCAGGCTGTTGGTGTCGTATTACAGCCGCGAATTCTTCGCGTACTCCTCCTAAGATAAGACCACCAGGCCAGCGAGCCGAACTCGAACCTCCTCCCCAGTCCGACGAGAGTGATTGTTAGCCATGGGCTAGGAGAGCAGGCTGCACTGCGAGAAAAATCGATCTGAACCTGAAGGGGCAAATACGAAATGTAAAGTAACCCGTTTAAAGGAGCACCATTTATTGTCTACTAAACAATTGAAAAATGTATTGAAATCAGTTAAGTTCAACTGTTTTAAAAAATAATTTTGTTTTACAATAATTATATGCAAATAAAGGATTGGGTTAACCACCGACAAATTTAAATTTTATAATAAACACTAAATTAACTAGTCAATTAGCTTAAAACATGCACCTAGCTATATTATTTTTGAATTCAGAATAGTTTAATAATAGAAAATAAAAACTTTAAAATCGGAAAACTCAACCAAAAGTTATTTTGATTTTTAAATTATCACCGTGGCGAATAAATAATTATAAACAATAATAATATAATGTTAATTAAGTTACATTTTCACGTTTTTTAAGAAAAATACCTTTATATATCTCAAAAAGGGGTTGTGATTTTTATTTGAAAATCAATATTTTTCAGTCTCTGCTTAACTTGTACTGTATATGGGCACTTCCAAAATGTCGCTCGGGACATTTGCACACCTTTAAAGTTGAAAAAAAATTGTAAAACAATGTATTTTAATTTTAATTATGGGCTTTTCTTTTCACTCTTCCCAAGCTCTATTTTTGGTAAAAATCTTGATTTTGTACCACTTTTAGTTTTTAAGATATCGGTAAAAAACTGCCGTATTCGCTCGGGACAAAAATAGAAGTGGATTTCGGGGAAGTTCATACAACACCAGAAATTAGCGAATTCTGATGGAATATTTTAATGCGATTTTTTTTAGAATGTTGTTCAAACATGTCGCTGTGAAATGCTTTTGGTTTCACTCAAAAATTCTTTGCCGTTTTTTTTTTATGCAGTTTCAACCACATTCGCTCGGGACATGTCGCTCGGGACATTTTTTCCGACTGTTTTGTAAAGCGGATTTCTTTACCTCTATCTCTCAATTGCTGGATGTTTTGCTTTTAACTTAATAGTTTAGTATGTGAATGAAGCATTCAGTACAGAAAAATGTCACATATTAGCATTCCTATAGGATAAATTAACAATAGAAGACAGGTCCAAAAAATAACAAAAAAATAGCCAAAAACTGATTTTTGCGTATATTGGTGGGGTTTGTCATAAAAATGATCAAACTATACTCTAAATTTGTAGTTAAGCTCAGTATCCAACTAATTAGAAACTAATATCGGGGCAAAATCATGTGGAAATATGTTTTATTCAAGTTTTAAGGTTTTTGGCTTGGTGGACTTTTTTTTGGAAGTGCCCATATCATTTTTGCCTTTAAAATTTACCAATATAACCCTTATACAAATTTAATTACTATTAAACTATTTCTCTCAGTGCACACCCGAAGCAAAACTGATAAGAGACGAAGACGACTGGAAACCGACTGGATTTAGGAAGATAAGGCGCGATTCGGGGGATCGGATCGGAGGTTTACTGAGATGATCTGGGTTGTAATTAGAGCGAATACAAAAAAATTAGCAGGTGTGCGAGAGGGAGGGGCGAGGAGCGAGGGAGAGGGGCTGAATCACACTGTGTGACGTCGCTTATTGCTGCTGTGTTTTTGATGTTGCTGCTGTGATATTGCTGCTGCTGCTTGACTTTGTTGTTGTTTTCCGACTTTCGTTTTTATGATCTTTGCGATAGTGAAATAACAGATTTTTGTGTACTTTTTTTTGCCGCCACTACAAGGCAATTTCAGAACTGTGTTATTTATGTTGTTTTAGATAACGCTGTTTGTATTCACGTTTTTACTACATTTCCGATCTGCCGTTTTTCGGCTTTAGATTTGAACATTCATACTTTTCTCCCGCTCGTATTGCTATCTCTCTTTCGCACCGTATCGCGCTCCCTTTCGCACTGGCACGCAGCTCGGTTGTTGACGGTTTCGGTGTATAACGTTAACTGAAAGTGTAAGATAATATTCTGGCCCCATATATAGAGAGAGCGCTACGAGAACTGGCCGTCTATATAGCGGAATGCAGTAGTAATATCGCACAGACGAACACAATTATAAATGCTTTCTGCTCGTCTTCCCATTGTTATTGTTTTCATATTGTTTTTGGTCTAGATGTTGCTGCTTTTATTGTCGTTAGCTGTCGAGTGTCAATTTGTGGATTTTATGGAGTGGTTAAGTCGGTTGATAAGCTCGGATGCGCTTTGGAGTTTTAAATAATATATAACAAATTATATGTAGTTTGATTACCTCAAATTTAAATGGAATCAATTGATAGAACCCACCTTATAAGCCTTATCGGGGCGAAATCTACAATTACGTAAACTCGGGCCATATAAGAAGGTGAATGAATGGCTTGATTTCATAATTTCAGATATGATTTGCTGGTACGAGATAAGCCGATTAAACAAATCTGGTTTGATTGCATTGTAAAGGTGTAGGTATTCTCTTTATAGAGTGCACTGTGTAGCTGATTATCCAAAGCATTTCAGCATTTTCCGTTTCTAAATTCCACATTTCCACTGACAAATTCTTTTCGCCATATTAAATTCGTTTGTAAACGAATGCACGCATTAGCAGCTGTTTAATTATCTATAAACTGATTAGAAACATTGTTAAACCAAACCCACTTTTTATTGATTTTATTATCACGTGTCGATTACTCACTTTCGTGGTTTTTATGCCTTGTACTTCAAAGTATAAAGTTTTATTTCCAAATTTAATCACAATCTCCACATTGATTGATACAAGATTTCATTAAAATTTAAAACAAATAAAATTATATTAGGCATAATTAATACCATTGGCTTATTTTAATCATAAAAGAATTTAAGATTATCTCAAACCTTATTAAGCCAATTTACCCTATATAATCTATGTATTTTTTTCATAGATTGTTGCGAATTAATGCAGGATATGATATCAACCGACTCGGCATGAGCAAATAAATGCTGATAAGATACTCGAAATGCTCTTCACACTTTCACCGATGGAGTGGGAAAAAATCACAGCATTGCCGCTATGGCCACACAGAATGTTTGCTGGGGCATTAAAATTTTACTGCACCTTCTTGATGCCGCCAGACAAACATATATCCGCATATATAGGTAGGTATATTGGGAACGGGGCAGGAGGAACAGGAGCCGACTTCATCACATGTGCGGGCGAGAGCGTGTGGCAAATTGGCCTTTGTGGGTTGTTGTCTGCTGGCCTGGCGGCAAATATAAATGATCTAATTTAAATAATTACGCCCACAAAATGTGACGCGCCTACCAAATTGCCTTCGTTTAATGCTTGAGTGGGAAAATTACCCCCGAGCCAAACCGAAGACTAGAACTAATTTCAAAGTTGGCTTTGCTTATGGCCTCACAAAGTGTTTCCCACTCCCATTCCATTTCCATTTCCATTCGCATTGCCATTGCCAAGTCGATTTCCCAGCCGTTCGGGTATTATTAAAGTTTTCCAATTGACAATTTTCGGGTATGACTGTCTCCTACACCGCCGAGGTGGCAACATGCAGCTATTTTGGCTGCTTCTGGAAGCTTTTGATGAGGTGAGACATCTTCGATATTAGCCTTATACTGTATTGACCGAGATATCTGATAAATCTGCAGATGGCGCGCCAGCATCTACAAGATTATATGGGTTGATCTTCTGGCATTTCTGTGTTGCTACTACTTGATGGCTATTATTTACCGCTATGCTCTAAGGGATGTCGATAAACCGTGAGTTAATCTCCCCTTTGATCCCTTTTAAAACTATCCATACGTGGCATTCTATTCTTAATAATAATTTTACAAATTGTAAATATGTCTTAAGTAGGTATTAAATTTAGTATTAAATTTCTTAGAATAGATTTCTCAAAAATCTATTAAAATTCAGAAATCTTTGGATAAATAGATTTTAAGATTTCCTGTTTAAAAAATGATTTCATTAAAATGCGGTTTTTTGTTTTAAGACTATTTAACTTCTTCCCTTGACATATTTCCCAGTATTTTCGAGGACATTGTGATGTACTGTCACAGCTATAGCAACCTGATTCCGCTTTCCTTCGTGCTGGGTTTCTACGTGGGCATTATTATAGAGCGCTGGTGGAGTCAGTATATTACGGTTCCCTGGCCCGATCCCTTGGCGGTTTATGTAAGTGCCTTGGTTCGCGGGCAGGATGAGCATGGTCGTCTGATGAGGCGTACGATTATGAGATATGTGTGCTTGTCCTTGACCATGGTGCTGTCGATGATATCCCCCGTTATAAAGCGGCGCTTCCCCTCTTACGATCAGTTAATTGAAGTGGGTCTTCTGAATGCCAACGAGGCCAATATCATAAGGGCTATGGATGCCAAGTTCCCGAAGCATCCCAAGTACTGGATGCCCATCGTCTGGGCTGCGAGCATTGTGACAAGGGCCCGAAAGGAGGGACGTATCTGGGATGACTTCTCGCTGAAGTCTATGATTGATGAACTGAATAAATTCCGAGCCGGATGCAATATGCTGATCCATTACGATACGATCTCAGTGCCATTGGTTTACACCCAGGTTAGTCTATTGTTATGAGATAGTTTTTTTTTGCAAAACAATCTTTTTTTCAGGTTGTAACTCTGGCTGTTTACTCGTATTTTGTGGCCTCTATTTTCGGCCATCAATGGATTGATCGGGAGGTCAAACACTACAACAATATAGTTAGTTACTACTTTCCGCTGTTCAGCACCCTGGAGTTTTTCTTCTTCATGGGCTGGCTAAAGGTGGCCGAAACTCTGATTTGTCCCTTTGGCGATGACGACGATGACTTCGAACTGAACTGGCTGATCGATCGGAATCTGCAGGTCAGCTATTTAATCGTTGACGAGATGCACAACGATCACCCGCAGTTGGTGAGGGATCAGTACTGGGACGAGGTCTTCCCCAACGAACTGCCCTATTTGGTGGAGTCTGAGAGGGCCGAACACCCGGAGGCCTCCACCGCTCGACTGGGCATCCCAAAAGTCAACGCCGCTCATTCGGTCAAGAGCGAGGCCAGTTTGGAGAACGACTTTACCGAATTCGACGACGAGGACGAGACCAAGGACGAAGTCACGATTCGATTTGCCCGTCGCGAGTTCAGCTGGAGCAAAAGCTCCGTGTCGATAACGTATTCCTCGGGCAACCATAGCATAGATACCCTCAGCTTTGACGACCAGGGTGGCGAGGAGATGGAAAACGAGGTGGACTCAAGGACTGTGGATTCCGGCAGCAAGGACGACTTCGATCGGCTGCGGGAAAAGCGGGAAAGGGAGCGTGTGAACCGGCAGATGCAGCATGCCGCCCTCGCGATGGAGTTGATGAAGGGAGAACTGGGCTCAAATGCGGGATCGGATACAGGATCAAGTCGCACCAATGTCCCGCTGAAGGACTCCGAGGTCCAGACCGACAAGAGCTACACCAGCCAACGGAAGAAGGACAAGGATAAGGACAAGGAAGCCGACAAGGAATAAAATGGGAACGTAAAAAGGATAGTTTGCATTGTAAAATAATTTATGAAATAATTTATAGTAATAAAAAAGGATAATTCCAAATTTATTTATCATTAAATAAAATATAGGTACTAAGTAGGTGTTAAGCCTTGGTAACACCGTTATTCCTTCATTTTTATTTATAAACGTTAAATGTCAGAACAACAACAAGTGGAAAGCAGGATTAAGATTAAAGATAAATCTCTAATCGTTCTTTTCTGTTTTATTTGGTGGGGTTGCCTTGGTTGAAGGATCTTGTTGGGTTCCATCTCCTGCTTCCTGGCTTTCGGATAGAGTTTCATCGGACGGAGGACGAAGAACTGTGACCGTATAAGGTGCACCCGAAGTATCGTGACGGAGATGGGTGCTCCTCATGTCCATAAAACGGTGGCGCATTCGTTCCCTGCGCTCACGGCGACGCTGCTCAATTAAAGCATTAAAATCGACTGCGGAAAGTAGGATTTATATAAATAAGTTTGCAATCTTTACAATTATTCTGGTATAATAATTCTTACTGGTCGATTGCGACGGTTTTTGAGAGCTCTGTGGATCTTCCTGATCCATGGCAAATAGAGTTTCACTGAAGGTCACTCCAGATGGGCCATCTTCCAATTGAAAGGAGTCTGAGTAGCTCCCTGTCGCCGATGGTCTTCCCAAAAAGTTCCGTTGGAAGGCGTTACGCGAATGGGTACGGCTATTGCGGCTACTGCGGTTACTAAAGGTCGAAAGACCCGATCCATGGTGTCTCTAGAGTGTCAGAAGAAAAGATGAATTGTTACACAACTACCGGTGAATGACTTTCTTCACCTATCAAAATGGTACTTAAGAACTCTAAATAACTATACCTTCTGTTGAGATTGGGTTTCCATATATGCAGTTGAAGCTTCCGGAGGGTTATGACGCATATTTGGCACTGCGTAGGGCATTTCATTCGGAAAGACCTCCTCCCAGTATTGATCTTTAACCAGTTCCGGATGCTCCTGGTGCATCTCGTCCACTATGCAATATGCAACCGTGAGATTCCGATCGATTATCCAATTAAGCTATAGTTAAAATGTTTATAAATACATAAATTTAATTATTACAAAATTAAAAATAAAAAAACAACCGTGACCTTATCTATTAAAATATTTTTACATTTTTTGATACAATATTATTAAAATGTGATCTTACCTCAAAGTCGTCATCATCCTCTCCGAATGGATTGATCAAGGACTCGGCCACCTTGAGCCAACCCATGTAAAAGAAAAACTGAAGGATGGTCAGGATGGGGAACCACCTTCTAATATTAATGCCTTCCGGATCCGAATGATTCTCCATCCACTGTTGTCCAAGAACGCTGAACAGAAAAAAAGAGTAGGTGGCCACGGTGACCACCTGGGTGTAAACCAGTGGAACACTGATCCAGTCGTAGTAAAGCAGAAATCCACATAAACCGCGAAAGTGGTTCAACTCGTCAATTATCGTCTTAACGGCGTAATCATCCCTGATCTTATTCTCCCTCCTGGCCCGCATTACAATGCTAGCTGCCCAAACGATGGGCATCCAATGTTTTGGATAATTTGGAAAGGCCTGATCCATGGTCTCAATGATCTTCTTTTCGTTTTCCAGTAAAAATCCAGCTTCGATGATTTGATTGTAGGTGGGAAATCGACGTTTTACACGTGGTGATATCATGGTGAAAACTATCACCTGGCACAGGCAGACATATCTCAGGATCGTTCGCCTCATGACTCGGGCTCTATCATCGGAGCCATGGATACTGGTACTAATCAAAATGGCAATCCCATCTGGCCAGGGAATGGTTGTGTATTGCTCCCACCAGCGATTCATCACAATTCGCACAAAAAATCCCAACACGAAGGACAATGGAATGAGGGAACCATTCCGCTCGCAATACGTTATAATAGCCTCGAAGAACCTGTGCCATCAACGGTTACTTTAATGCAGAATAAACTAAGTATAGCTCACCTCTTGCCCTCTTCATTTAGCAACAAGCGATATGTAATGGCCAGCAAGACGTACAATCCGAAGAAAGCAATTAGGTCTATCCATATTAGCTTGTAAATACTGCCGCGCCATCTTTGAAATAAAATATTTTTTTAAATTTTAAAATAGCACGAGTAGTAGAAATACTAACCTCACTAGGAGACCCAAGAAATTGCTGACAACACTCGATGTGCTCACACGCGAGGTGTAGGTCACAGTCATGATTGAACAGCCTTTTTGAATGAATTCAATTTGTATATAAAACAGGCACAAAACAAGTTGACAGTCTGAGCAACGCATACAATTTTTTACCAATAGGAATTTCGCATTATTACTTTGGAAAAAATAGAGGCAATATTTTATTTATTTATTGAATTTATATTGGTTTAAAAACAATTTAGAGTATTTCAACTCAATGTTATTCTTTTCTCTATTAAAACATAATAAAGACACAAAATTAAACCTGTCAAATAGAAATCAAAAGACATGACTAAAAAGGTGATAGCAAAACATCATTGATACGTATTTGTTTTTCCTATCCAGCTCAATATTCCCCTCCTCTCAAGTATTTCATCGATAATTTTATTTATTCTGAAAACCATTTTCATTTTGCTTTCCTTCTAATACCCTGGGATTATAAAAATAATGGCATATCCTATAGATATGTGGTTTGAACATCAATTTAAAATGTAGAAGTAAATTTTTATTTTCTTTGAATTAAAAATAACTAGAGACTTTCCAAAAATGAGCAGTGAGTACCATATAGTCGGAACTCAATTTAATAGAAATTCCGACTTGTTTTTATTTACCCTTTCGAGACCTCCCGCAGGAATTTCGAATCGAATTCATTGCTTCCTGTGACAAAGATTGCCTTTGATGCGTTAAGACAATACGTACAGTTTTGTGAATCATTTATAAGCCACAATACCCATGTGCTTGTGTCATGTGCCAGAAAAGTCCTTCCTGACAGCGTCAAAACCACATGAGCAGCGGCTGAAAAAAGGATATCCAACGGGCTCTCATTGTGCCTTCCATTATCATAACCAAACATGGAAAATCTGACGCGATGCGTGTTATTATTTTTTACACTTGACAGCACTTTCTGCGCTGGAAAAATCGCGACAAAAACGAAATGAAATTACATTGGCAGCTCGCGCGAGAATGGAAAACTATGGAAACTTTTTATTATAAAACATATTTAATGCTCCCACAGATTGAGGGCGACTGAAGGGTAAAGTAATTCCGATTCTGCTCGCCACTTAACTCATTTGGGGCATTATTGGGGCTTGATTTTTTCCCAGCTCCCTTTGTGCTGATTCCAATTTATAATTGCAGATCGATATGTTGGTACTAAAGCGGTTTCTCTTTCACTCTTAATTGCGATTAAGCATAAGCAAGTGCTGAGAGACGGATAATACCTAATGATGAATAAAAAACATTTGAACAGATACAAAGAAAATGGTAGGGAAATCATGAAGTTTCCAATTATTTTTAAAATACTTTTTTGTAAATCAATTTAAAATAGTACTATAGCACTCTTGGTTAGCATTTTGACAAGCATTTTTTAAGTAAAATTTTATGTAAATTTTTAAATTAATTTTAAATTAAACAAGAAAGGAAGCTAGCTTCGGCCAGCCGAAGCTTATATACCCTTGCAGATCATTCCTATTAATTAACAAATCGCAAAAATGTTCAATTTTCTAATATTTCTCATTAATTTTCCGATCGTTCCTATGGCAGCTAAATGATATAGTCGTCCGATTTTGATCCAATTAAAATTGAAATTCGGAAATATTTAAAAAGAGTCATATCCTAGAGTAGAAGATAATACAATAAAAACCTAAGAAGCTAGAATTTATTTCCTATTACTTTTCCATTAATTTTCCGATCGTTCCTATGGCAGCTATATGATATAGTAGTCCGATTTTTTAAATAATTAATTCGAAATTCAGAAATATTTAAAAAATAACATCCCCAAAAGTAGAAGGTAATATTTCAAAAAACACCGAAGCTAGAATTTTTTAAAGTTTTTTTTTTCCGATCCTTCCTATGGGAGCTATAAGATATAGTTGTCCGATGCGGTCGGCTCCGACATATATACTACCTGCAATAGAAAGAATACTTTTGGGAAAGTTTTATCCCGATAGCTCAAAAACTGAGAGACTAGTTTGCGTAGAAACAGACAGACGGACAGACGGACGGACAGACGGACAGACGGACATAGCTAGATCGACTCGTCTTGTGATGCTGATCAAGAATATATATACTTTATGGGGTCGGAAACGTCTTCTTCACTGCGTTGCAAACTTCTGACTGAAATCATAATACCCTCTGCAAGGGTATAAATATTAAATTAATTAAATAAAATGAGCTAAAAAGTTTTAAGTTATAGTATACATAGGGGAGCAAATAAGGAATATGTGTATTAAAATAATAAAACCTGAAAAAATAATATTGTTAATGTTGGAAAACCTATTAAATATGTTCCTTATAAGCAACGTTTTACCCTTTTTGTTAGCCTTGAAAACAATTGTTGTTTTACCAAATTGTGCTTTGTATATGTGGAATCGTTTAAAGTCGTCAACTGGACACGACTAATTGGCCTTTACGTCATCAAGTTGTTCATCCGACCAAAGGCCGTAACCAATTCGCGAATACCCCATGTCCCCGGCAACAATTCAGGCAGATATGTGGCCATAAATATTTCATATTTGCACATCGCGTAGTTTGTGTTTTGTCGCCTGCTGCTCCTGATTGATGACGCGGTCGAGGATTGCAGATGCGGATTTTCGTCCTCCGACATTGGGGCAGCACAAAAAAGGGGTTAATTTAATTTCGCGCTCGGGCGAATTTGTCCATAATTGGCAATTAGCATTGACCATTGCCATATACATATACATATTCGCAGGGGCGAAGCCATGGCAATCATCGCCGTGCTGGCCATCATCTCACACGGTCAACTTACAGCATGGCCAGCAGAACTCCGTTTGCATTTCAGCATTTGCCCATTGGCAACCAATATTTGCCTCATGGTTGTTTCCTCTGATGTTGTTTTTTGTGACCATTTTTCAAAAGTGCAAACAAAAAAACTGCCAGAATTATTGAGGCGTTGCAACAATAATCATCGATTCGATCTCCCTGTCAATAAATTTACAGTGTTGGAAATATTAATAGAAACGCTGTTCCATTTATGAAATGTTATGATTGAGCTTCCACAGCGTAAAGCTTCGTAAATAATAAAAATAAATGGCTTTTAACCAGGCCTTTTGTTATTTTATTAAATTAATTTTTGTTTTAAATGATACTGTATTATTTCATCTGCCACTGTGAATTGTTGCATTGCCTGATTGCAGCTGCTCTGCATCGTTAATTGCAACACAGCCATGCAAAATGCGTTTAATGCGACTTTTTTCTAGAATTGGGTTGGGGTCTCCCCTGAGTTTTTCACACCATTTTTCAAAGTCAATTTCGGTTGAGTTTTAATGCGACCTTTGGGAAAGACGTTTTTTTTTCCGAACCCATAAAGTATATATATTTTTGATTCAGAAAACATCATCTAACGCACGTAAAGTCGATCTAGCCATGTACGGGTCTGCTCCGAAATAATTATTTTTTTTTTAAAATCTGTCCGTTTTTTCCGTTTGTCAGTTTGTCAGTTTGTCAGTTTGTCCGTTTGTCCAAAACATGTTTTTTTCTTTTTACGCAAACTAGTCTCTCAGTTTTTTGAAGAGCTATGCAGGCATGAAAATATCTGTTCTCAGAAGTCTTCTTTCTATTGCAAGACTTTAGTATTACAATAGTTTTTTTTGTCGGAGAATATATAATTTTAACCGACCGGATCGGATTCGGATTGGGGGAAAATCTACATATAAAGCTTTTATCAACACCGCCTCCTTAAAGCTTTTTACCATAGTTGGGGGGGGAAGAAGGTGGCTTATTGCTTTTAACATCCCCCTTGACCCTTTTTTAGATAAAAAAATTTTAATTTAAAGGAGCTTATATAAACTTTGAGAAAAATACCTTTTTAAAAACCTAAAAAAAAAAAAAAATAAAAAATAAAAAAAAAAATGGTAAGGGGTAGAGAAATTTTTTTATTTTTTTTAATTTTTTAAAATAAAAAAATTATAAAAAATTAAAATTTTTAAATTTTATTTTTTTTTTTTTTTTCAACGTGTATCTTTATATCTACAGTAAAATATCATTAGCGGGAAGTTTGAGCTTAAATTAATCAACATTGGAATTATTTATTTATAATTAATTTGTAGCATACAAATTTTGTTAAACTTTAAAATACAAATAAATACAATTTTTTTATTATTATATAATATATAAATAATACTTTAAAAAAGTTCCTTTTTTTTTTTTTTTTTTCTTTTTTAACTTTTTTTTTTTCCTTTTATCCTCTTACTTTTTTACTTTAATTTTAAATTTTAAATTTTTTTTTGGAATGGGAGGGGGGAGGGTAAGGGGGATATGGGGGGTTAAAGCCGAAAAAAACAAACAAAAAAAAAAAAAAAAAAAACCAAAAAAAAGGGGAAGGAAGGAAAAGGAGGGGGGGGGAGGGGCAGGGAAACCAACAGAACCCAAAACAACCAACTCCTTATTCATTCTTAATTTTATTTTTTTTGATTTTATGGCTTCGTTGCCCCCCAACAAATCCTAATATATTTTTTTATTTTATTTTTGTATATTAATTTTTAGTATCCAATTTAAATTTTTATTTTAAATCTCACAAACCTCTCTCCCCCTTCGTGTGTGGGTGTAATGATTTGTTTTATTTTTTTTTTGTTGTGGGACAAAAATTAATTTAAATAAAAATTTTAAAAAAAAAAAAAACCTAAAACTAAAAATTATTTAAATTTTTACTTGTAATAAAAAATATTATTTTTTCTTTTTTATACTTAAAAAAACAAAAAAAAAAAAAAACAAAAAAAACCAAAAACGGACGACAAAAAAACCAAAAAAAAAAAAAAAAAAAAAACAAAAACCAAAAGAAAAAAAAAAAAAAAACAAACAAATTTAAAAAATAAACCAATGAAAAAAAAAAACATATAAGAGAAAAAACAAAAAAGGGGAAGCGGGAAAGGGAGAAAGGCAGACAGGGGAAAAGCCAAAAATTGGCCACTTTATTGGTTTTGCCAAAATTCTACACTTGCATAAAATGGGTAGAAATAAGAGGGTTGGGATAATTATCCTTATTATTTTTATTTTATTCTTTTTTA